ATGGTACAGAATAGAGTACCCAGAAATAAATTCCAAATCATACAGCCAGCTGACTTTTGACAAGGGGTACCAGTGAACCCAGTGGGAAAAGGAAAACCTCTTCAGCAAATGGTGGTGGAAAAACTAGATTTTCACCTGCAGAAAGATGAACCTGAACCCCTACCTCTCACCTCTAACAAAAATTAAGTCAAGGTGAATCAAAGATCTAAATCTAAGACTTCAAACTATAAAACTGCTCCTAGAAAACATGGGAGAAACTCTGAGAGACATTGGGGTAGGGACACAGTAATTAGTGTGAATTGATAGCCCTCAGAATGGGAAAATATTTTTGTAAATTATGCATCAGATAAGGGACTGATATCCAGAATACACAAGGAACTCAAGCAGCTGTTTGGAAAAAAGATGATCAACCCTATTAAAAGATGAGAGAATGAGCTGAAAAAACTCTAAAAATGACATACGAATCGCCAAAAGGCATATAAAAAATGCTCAACATCCCTCAACATAAGGGAAATGCAGACCAAAACAACAATGAGATACCACTTAACCCCAGTCAGAATGTCTAAGATTAAAAAAAAAAAATGATAAGTGTTGGCAGGGGTGTGGTGAAAGGGGAACTCTTTTACACTGCTGGGGGGAGTGTAAATTAGTCCAGCCACTGTGGAGAACAATTTGGAGATTCCTCAAAAATCTACAAATAGAACTACCATATGATCCAGTAATCCCACTCCTTGGTATCTACCCAAGGAACAAAAAAATTCTTAATCGGAAAAGTGCTTGCACATCAATGTTTATTGCGGCACAATTCATAATTGCGAAGACATGGAACCAACCCAAATGCCCCGAACTGATGAAAGGATTGAAAAACTGTGGCACCTGTACTCTATGGAATACTATTCAGCCATAAAAACCAACAAAACCCTGGCTTTTGACAGAAAGTGGAAGAATATGGAAGATTTACTGCTGAGCGAGGCAAGCCAGGCTATGAAGGAGAGACATTGTATGTTCCTACTTAATATCTTAATATATACTGAATATCCGCACTCTGTGACTGAAACTGATTGACTAAAGGATATAGAAACACAATAAATGGGTGTAAATGCAAAAAAAAAAAAAAAAAAAAAAAAAAAAAAAAAATAAATTGAGGAGAGAAAAAAAAAAAGAATAGATTGAGTAGAGACTTAGGAGTGCACAACTACCATAAAAGAGTTTAAAACCTGGCTTGAGAGTCACTCTTTTGAACTTTGTGCCCCAGAATATTTATGCCAATGTTTACCATTTTAGCTATATTACATTGGCTTTTGAAAGTTTTATAACTTTGGGTTTTTAATACAATCATCTCTATAAAGGATGGCATCTGAGGCCATCATTTAGTAACAATGAATGCATAAAATACCGGGGAGTAAGAATGGAGCACAGACCTGGAGCAGGGTGAACTGTCAGAAGAAAGGATGAAATCAATGAGGAAGGAGTGGAAAGTAATAAAATCTTGTTTTCATCCCAATTTAGCCTAGAACAATTTGAGTTGGGGAGAAAATGTGTTATTCTCTTGAGTGTTCATCTGTTGTTTTTTAAGTTCCATGCAAAGTGTTCTTCTCATCATTTACATTCGTCTTACATTATGAGGCTTCTCTCTCTGTTATACATAGACCAGAACCAGAGGAATAAGTTATCTGTATATCTGTAAGTCTTCACAGGAAATGAAATTGCCTATTTGAAATAGATCTAGTTTGTTTTGGATAGATTAGTGTCCCAATGCTTCTTCATAGTCATTTCTTGCTGTTGAACAAGGTATAAAATGCTTTGTGTGACTCCTGGTTCTCTGTAAGTGGTCAATAAATATCCTACCTGGGATTAGAATATACTTTTAATTTTTATTATAGCATTGACACACAAAAAGTGAAAATAACAAATATACACTTTTAAAAACTAAACTGTGAATGCCTGTGTAACTGCCAACTAGATCAAGAGACAGCATACTGCTGACATCTCAGAAAACCATCCTGATCACAAATCACATACTCCTCTCAGACATCAACTGCTATTCCTACTCCTATGAAGAAAATTTTCTTCACACACACACACACACACACACACCCATACACATCCTTTTATGTAAGAACATATATATTTCTTTAAATAACACCATATACTATCTGTTCCATATATGGAATCACAATGTGTGCACTTTTATATTACACATTGTCACACATGACTAGTTTATTCATTGCTATTGCTGTATGGTATTCCAGTGTATGCAACATATTTTTAAAAAATTTTTCTGTAATTTGCCAGAGAGTTATGTGTGCTCTCTGGGGAGAGAGAGGGAAAAAAAAGAGAGAGTGAGAAAGCATCTACTATGGATAGGGGATGGTCATACAGCAATCCCTTTTCCTCTGTTATTCCCTCTTTTCAGTATTTTGGGTATGTATGTATACATATGCACCATGTTTTTCAAGCCACTGGGCCCTGGACTTGAACCACACAGTCAGTCATATGGGATCCAGCCACCTTAACCACCACACTACCAGCTGGTCCTGGTGCATTGGTTCATAGCATCTCTAGTATAGTAGATATTGATGACGAGAAGTAGGGTATAAAGAACTTCAGCTTTACTCAAGAAGATAAAACTGTTTATCGTATAAGAATTCCTATTGTTCTACATCCTCACCAACACTTGGTATTGTCAGACCTTTTAATTTTTGCCAAAACGTATTTAAAATGTAATGATACTTCCTTGTACTTTTTCAATTTATTTTTTTCTCATGTGTTTTTAATTTGTAAAAACTCTAATTACTAATGAGTTAGGAAACTTTTATATGTTCATTGCCTTGAGTCCAGAATATTTAAAATGTAAATATAAATTCTACTGCTCTGGACTTTGTTATTTTGGTGTTAGTAATACTGAACACTTCATGTCATACTGATTATTATAGGTGAAGAAAAGGAAATCCATTCATTTGTCTTCAGTTTAGAGTTGAGCCCTTTCTATTTAATCTTCACAATAATTTTGTTAGGTTGATGTTGTTATCTTTATTTTGCAAATAAGGAAATTAAGAATCAAAAGTTATGGAATTTTCCCAGAAGCAAATATATGGCTTTTGAAAGTGTTACTAAGTGACAGAAGTGAAACGCAAATCATGTCTGTGTGCCTGCAAAGCCTGAACTCTTTCCAGCAATAATGTTCCCTCCTAAGAAATAACCTTACAGATGAAAAATAATGCTGTGTATCTTTCGGTGAAGTCATTGTCTTAAAAACAAGAACTGAAGGGAACCAACAGATAGCTGGACTCTCACCTAGTCAACTGCAGTTCACGTCCAGGACCCAGAGGCATAAAACTCACTCTTGGCATGCATGTATGTGCCCCAAACCCCAAGAGGAGAATGGAAAAGAAGGGCTATCTCTCTTGGGGGTGTTGGGGTGATTTCTTGCTTTCTGTCTCTCTGGCAAGTACATGTGTGCCCTGTAGCAAAAATCTCTTAAAAAAAAAAAAAGAACTAGAATTCCAAAGGTACCCTGTTTAGTATGACTAATTAAATAACTGCATCTCTATGCCAGTTCTTCCTTTAACATGTCAAAATCCAATTCATTAATACTTTAACAAATGAAAGAGTCATTGATATTTTGTGGGATTTTCTTTATGAGAGTAATCTATGAGATACTTTAGTCACATTTCATTTCATTTTCGGCCTGGAAAAGGCACTTGTGAAATGATTAACACTGTACAATAGTTAAAGAATATTAAATGACAGGCAGAATAAATGTAACAAAAGGCAAGATTATGGCAAACCATTCTGTAAGAGATACATTTTCATATAAGTAATCAATTTATAAAGACACTCAACAAATTCAAGCAATAGACATTTTCTAAAAAAAAATTAATTTAAAGCCAGTTAAAGGATAAACATCAAGCAAGACTCCTAGGAATTTGTATGTTATTAATATGTCTTTTTTCCACAACTATAAAGGTCTAATAAAAAGCCTGAGAATCTTGCAGATACAGAAACAATTTTCAAAGAATCAGATTAACCAGAAACAATGGCTTAGGTGTGTATTACCTACAAAAGGAAATGGGCAAACCTAGTTTTCAACCTTCCTCCCAGGATGCTAAGAATAACTCTCAGGGCCAGAGATGAATTCTGTGTGCTACTCTACTTTCCTGAAGCTGTACAAAATGATATTTCAATGGAATCTGTTCCAAAACTCTGCCCAGTGATGTATGCACACTAGTGGCCTGTACCTTTGTCATTAACAACTTGAAAGAGGCTGGGATTCTGCATCTATGGTGTGAACCTCATACTCCATAGCAAAGATTTTATTAACCACTTTTACATACTTTACACTTTTTGTAAGATTCAATATTTTTACCAGATGAGACAAATGCTTGCTTGCAAAAGTTCTAGACTAGAGCACACTTTCTAGTTGTCGATGTACTTCCATCCTGTCCTGTACCACCAATTGGTTACAAAGATTTAAAGGTTCACTTATAATAGGATTTAAATTATTTTAACCCTTCTAAATTCGAAACTCTTTAAATCCCATTATCTCTGCAGCCACTGCGAATTTTAAAATCAGCTTGGCCTTTTCTAGCTCCAGGTCTAAGGATTACAGAGTTTTAAAGAGTATAAATGGTTTTCTGAAGTTCTATAAAGAGCTGTCCCCAATCAGTTGACCTACAGGAAATAAAGCCAGTCAGTTCTCCAGCTGGTAACTGCTGATCAGAGTTTCTAAAAGGAAAGATATATATGTGTTTCTGCAAACCACCAGGAAAACAGGTAATTGCTTCCTCTACTCCATGTGAAATCAGAGAATCAGATTTGATACAGGAGAGGCAACAGAAGTTAGATGTTTGTCAGTAAATGTCTAAGAATAAGAAACCAGAAGATGTCAGGGACCCAGAGAAGCTCTCTGGGGCAAAGAAAGTTCAATGAGTTGGAAACCATCTTGTTCCTAAAGAAAAGCTGTTACCATGGATACCTCTGAATCTTAGAGGTCTTACCTCTTGTGTCCTCACATTTGTGTATCCATAGTGAGTTCGAAGAGGTCGTCTGTATGTGTAGGAGAATGGTATCCACTTAGTACCAGGTTGTCCAAAGCAGTTTAGAAGCAATGGGAAATTTGCTTCATTTACAAGGCGCACAACCAGCAGGAAGAGGAATGCTGCTATGAAGCTCACCGCAATCACAGATTTTCTCTACAAAATATTCAGAAAAACAAAAGAAGAATAAATGCATGACTTTCTACCAGAAGCACTCACCAAAGGATGTTCTATTATTGTTCCCTCTTTTTCTTTCATAAGGATCAAAGTATTCTGTCCTTAGGATATTATACTTGGAGACAGAAAATAATCATTTAGTGACCTGTTGCCTGAGTGTACAGGGTCTCTAAGAACAAGCAGAGCAGCTTTCATGGGTTCTTCCATTCTGTCTCTATCCTTCCTTGCCTCCCTATCTTCTTTGAAAACTTTTCTTCAGTTTGCAAAACATAAAGCAGACATTCCCACCTATAGGAAATATTTCATAATTGTCCAATCACCTTCTAAACACCATCCCTTCAGCCTCAACCTACCCACTCTAACAGAGGGAAGTCCTACTGCTCCCATAATTCAGTTTGAAGATACCTCTATCATACTTTTTTCACTATGTAATTATTTACCTAATTTTTCCTCCTTGTAAGTGTGCAGAATTGCAGAATTGGCATGCACTGTCATATTGATCTCTGTATCCCAAGCCCTTAACACAGCTACATGTTATATATACCTTACATACTACAGACAATCAACACTTGAGTGAAATCAACAAATGGAATAGGTAAACTGATTTTTCACATTCTCATAGTCACTGCTCTGTTTCTATACCTAGTACCTTCTATGAGCAGAGAACATTGCCTGTGACATAGACTATGCAAAAGTAAGAGATTTTTTACTCTTACTTTTGCACAGCTAACAATAAGAAGAGAAACATCTTCATGTCAAGAAGCATGAGACCATTTCCCTAAATGAGCTGCTATGGAACAAACGCAGGAGCAACTATGTCCGATGGAGTGGAAAAAAGCAGAGATGTTTGAGATTGAGCTTGATTAAAAACTATGTTTTATTTTGCCCATTTTACAAGATGGTGGGTGAAAAAGCTGAGAAGCTAAAACTAAAGAGAAGAAATCTGAAGGGAAGAAGGCTGATGCCAGTGTCAAGATTAAAAAGGATGACCCCAAAGGTAAAAGCCCAAGAAGGGGAAGCATCATTGTAGCCAAAACCCAGTCCTAATCTGGGCAATCAGTAGATACTCCCAATCCACCATGTATTCCAGGAAGGGCAGGTACAAGAGGAAATACTTGGCCATTACGTCCAGGACTGAAAAGAAAAAGGAGAAGGTTCTTGCCATTGTCACAAAACCAGTTGTTGGTGACAGGAATGGTGGTACTGGGTGGCTATGCTTCACAAAATGCCTAGATATTATCTTACTGAAGCTGTTAGGCCTGTGGAAAACAAACAAACAGACAAACTCCTCTGTCAGCATTTGGGAAGCTGTAAGCTAGCTTCACTCCCAGTATGGTTCTAATCATCCTCACTGGATGCCACAGAGGCAAAAGAGTGGTTTTTCTGAAACAAGTGAACAGTGGCTTGCTACTTGTGATTGGCCCTCTGGTCGTCAATCAAGTTCCACTCTATAGAACACACCAGAAATTTATCGTGGCCACCTCCACAAAAATTGATATTAGCAGAGTAAAAGTCTCAAAACACCTCACTGATGCTTACTTCAAGAAAAAGAGGCTATAGAAGCCCAGACACCAGGAAAGTGAGATTTTCAACACAGACAAAAAGAAACACAAGATTACAGAGCAGCAGAAGGTTGATCAGAAAGCTGTGGACTCAGAAATTTTACCAACAATCAAAATTGTTCCTCAGTTCCTGGGCTACCTGAGATCTGTGTTTACGCTTATAAATGGAGTTTATTCTCACAAATTGGTGTTTAAAAATTCCTTGCCAATAATCTAATTAAATAGCTAATGTATATAGTATATGTTTTAATTGACAAGGGTATGTGAGCAGAACTTTCTATTATAGAGAAAGGGAACAGAGCAAAGAGATAAGAAAACACTGAGTTATTCATGGACACAGAGCAGTTTGTTCTCCTGGAACACAAAGAAGGAAGAGCTGAAAACAAATGATAACTTCATGGTAGAGTGCCTCAGAAACGAAACTGGAAAGGCTATACTGAGTTTGCTAGGTAATGGAAAGTCAAAGATTTGTGTTTGTTTTGATTTTGTTTATTTAAAGGGGATAATTACAAGTAATTCTCAAACACCAGTGTTTAAGATGCTCAGTGGGACCAGCAGTTGGCATTATGGCTATGTCACTGGACACCCATGTAGTCGAATGGGTTCAAGTCCTGGACCCAGTGGCTTAAACTCACGCTGGGTGTGTGTGTGTGTGTGTGTGCCCAAGATTCCAAGAGGAAAATGGAGGAGAAGGGATTGTGGTGTGGCCATCGCCCCTAGGGGGTGATTTCTCGCTTTCTGTTTCCCTGTCTCTCTCTGTCTTTCTGCCAAGCACACACGCCTTTATAGCAAAAAATCTCCCCCCTCCCCCCCCAAAAAAAGATGCTTGGGAATATGGAAAGAGTAAAAGTAAGCGCAACTGTTTAATAGTTAGGAGACAACTCCAATTGACTTGGACAGAAGTAATGAGGAATTGAAATTAGGGGAGAGGCTGAGGGAATAAAAAGGCAGAAAAAGACATGAGAAACTCAATTTAGGAAGGAACATAATCTGGCTACTGATGAAACAGAAGTGGCAGATGGAAAATTCAGAAATGCCTGAGATTTTGAGTCTAAGTGACTGCAGTAATACTGGTCATATTGGAGAAACCTGAGCAGTCAGAGCAGACATTTATAAGTGAGTAACAAGATAACACTCTTGGCTTTCTAGGTACTAGTTTCCAGGAACTGGTGGGTCATCCTGGTGGAGTTGTCAGATGGTCAAGTGAAGGTCAAGGTTAGAGCAGAAAGGAAAAGCAGAACTGAGGGCAGGTCTCAAAAATTATTGCCATGAAGTGCAGGGCAAAGACTCAATGAAATATTCTTTCATGAAGATGTGATGGACCTCTGATTATTCATTAAACTTAAAGAAAACTAAATAACTTTCTTAGGATGACTGAATGTTGTTCTTGTTATTATTATTTTCAGTTTAAATGGGCTTCATTCATCTCTTCACAGAACCTCTCAAAGAAAAAAAGACACTCAAAGCTAGCGCCTGTGTCCTCCCAGGGCTCAGGGTCATGGCCTGGTATGGGCAATAGAACCAGCCTGGCAAAATCAGAGACACCCAACGGAAGTCTTTGTTTTTGCTTAGCTCCTAAAATTTGTAAAAGCTCCATCCCTCAGTCTAGCCAGCCTAATTTTCTAATCTCCTAAAATCCCTTGAGCTCTGCCTCCTCAAAACCCCTTATCTCTGCACTAACTACCATAGCCTTACCTCATTTAACCTTCTAATCATGAAAAACTGTTTTAATTTGCTCCTCTGTGGAATCATTATGTCCACAACATTCCAATGTGTCAAGGTAACAGCTTAAACGAGGTGATGGATCTTACAAGTTTAAAGGGACACAGACCAGAACAGATGGCTAAATAAAAGCAAAGAGGCCAGTCACCCATTAAGTAAACAGGTAAGAACCTTTTTTATCACCATCCAGTAGTTTGTTGCAAAGCACCGGCTTGCTTTAAAGGAGATCCAGATGGGATTTGTGCTCCGTCTATTCCAGAGCCCAGCACGGCTCTCTGGTTCTCTTGATTACTGCATTGCATTACATGCATTGCATTGCATGGTGGGGAGGCTTGGGGACAAAGGTGTGCAGGGCCTTTCTGAGTCCACCAATCATAAGTAGCAACACAAACACATACATAATACATATTTGAGAGGAAAATAACTAAAAAAATTTCAAGAGAAACTTCAAAGCAGGATGCAATCACAGATGTAAAAGCCTGCTCCCTGGCAATTCTCATCTGGTCTCCCATGTTCTGTCAAAGTGAGTCATGTAATGAGCACAGAGAGGGTGAGGGCAGCAACCAGAGAGTAAAGCCAGACACTGATTCCTCGGTGTTCCTGTGGAATTGTATTCTGCAGTGGACAGAGGTGCTCCTCTCATAGTTTAAGCCTTTGGCCCAATTTATACTGCAGTGCCTGGACTGATTCTTTGCCTTCCTTCATGTTTCCATATTCTAATTCAGCATAAAAGTGTTCTCATAGAACCACCCTAAAATTTCACCAGAAAAGGTAAAACTTCAAGCACCTTCTGTATTCTAAAGGGCAAGAACAATAGAATTCAACACAATGTACATCCTTCTAAGTAGTCACTTCTGCCATATCATGACCTTGAGCTACAGCAACTACAATGAAAATCACAGATGAGGCACGTATGAGTCTACACATAGCTGGTAGTGAGAATCTGTGTGTGTGTTTGTGTTACGGGTGTGGTACTAATATGCATGATATACAAGTGTCTTCAAAACATTCATGGAAGGGGCCAGCAGGTGGCATGGTGGTTAAGGCGCTGTACTTTCACATGGTCAACCATGGTTCAAGCCCTGGACCTAGTGGCTTCAAAATCACACCAGGGACATGTGTGTGCATGCTCCAGATCCCAAGAGAATAGAAGGGACTGTATCATGGCCAGTCTCCCTGGGGGATGGCGAGGTGGTAAAAAAAAAGATCATGGAAAATATGTATTATTAAAAAAAAAAGCTATACATAAATTTCAAAAAATGTTTTACCAAAATAAACTCATAATTTAATTCCATTTTTCCATTAACTTGTTTTTGAATTGCCAAAGGGTCTATGCACTCTCCAGAGAGACAGAGAAGACACCACTCAATGGAGTGAGGTGACACTCAAGCCTTATTCCTCCATTTCTCCATCCTGTCAGGATTTTGGTCATGCCTGTACACAATCTGGTGTGTTTTGCAAGGGCTGAAATTCCAACTGCAGTCACCCATGCAGGATCTAGTACCCTGTGCAGAGAATTAAACCATCAAGCTATAGGTAGGCCCTTCCACAAACGTTTTGATGTTCCCTTGTATATGTTGCACCCCTTTAAATTACGACCACTCATTGAGTCTATAGTCTGTGGAAAATTGACTAAGTGCTAAATAACAGAAATAATAGCATAAACGTTACATCATGCCTCCAAAGAATTACAAC